TTATCAGTGAATGCCCGTTGCGAAGCTCACATATATGGAGAAAGGGGTCGCCGCGCGAAGCGTGGGAATTCCGTCGAGAAGAGAAGCAGGCACCCAATGCTCGCTGGGTGTCTTTTTCGCTGCGGGAGAGTTGGATCTCCGTTCGCAACGACATGTCACCAGGAAGGCGTGCATTGCGACTGCCCACCCCGCTCCACCTCGTGCGAAGAAGGGAAACGTCCTGGCACTCGGATCTCTCTGTCAAGGTTCACGCCTGTTGTGAGCCTCGGAGTTTCAGAGCCTCGGAGGGTGACGATAGTCAAAAGCAGGCTCAGTGGTTAGCTCCCGGCTCCGAGTATTGCAAAGGGGAAAGGGCTCGAAGTTTCTGAAGAACCCTGGCCGAACCAGCCAGGATCTGAACATGGAATCCTGCAGCCAGATCCCAGCGGCGGCGTGGCAGCAGCTCGAGGGTGCCCATTGGCCGAAGCTGACGACGGTAAACTTCGAGAAGCGCCTCGGCTTTTCGGGCACCTGTTGGAGTGTGTGTGGTCTCGTCGAGATGGTTGTGCGGGTGTGAAGGAGATGTGGGAGCGGTGCGAAACCTCGAGGTGGTAGACCATCCAACCGTTTCACAAGAAAACGCCTGGTCTAAGAGATGGTCTTAGATACGAGCAGCAGAAGCGTCCGAAGGTCTTCGGCACGGATTTCTGCTTCAGCTTCGGCCCAGGTGCTTCGGCGACAATTTCAAGGGCGCCGATGGCGTAGCCGGGCTCCTCAGGGCCCTGGCCCGCTGCCCTGAGCTGGAGGACGCGAGCTCGTTGAGTTCACAGTAACACCGAAGAGCCTTCGGGGGGAAGGGGTCGCCACTGCCATAGCATGCCGACGGAGGCCTCCTAGCAGGAAACTTACATGAACCTGTTACCCTCATGCTCATGTTGCTGCTGCTGCTGCTGCTGCTGCTGCTGCTGCTGCTCCAGCTGCAGATGATGAGGTTTGGTGGTGAGCGTGATCAAGCTGACTCGCATCGACGTGGGTAGTAGTTTTTATTGCAAATACATAATTAGTCTTGCTGGTTACGTTCAGTTGGACCGACCTCCCGGGGTTTGTGAGGGCAAAAGGCGAATTATCGAACACCAGACATCAACAGCGTTCACAAAGTAGCAAGAAATACAAGCATGGCATTCGGCATCGCTGGGTCAGGCTCGAAGAAAACCCGAGAAAGCTCCCCAACAAGAAACGAAAATTGGGACCGGGGCCAAGTACTCCCGGGCTTCTGCAGGGATGCGATCGTGGGGAAGTTGCACCGGGCATGAAGGACATGGCCCGTGCCCACATTCATGCATAGCAAGCTGGAGGGAGAGAGTTGCTCCTTTAGGTTCTAGTGCATGCCCGTCGTCAATCTCACATCCATGGAGATTAGGGGTCGCCACGCGAAGCGTGGAAATCCCCTTGAGAAGAGAAGCTGGCACCCCACAACGCTTGAAGGGTGTCTTTTTCGCTGCGGGAGAGTTGAATCTCTGTTCGCAACAACATGCCACCAGGAAGGTGTGCGTTGTGACTGCCCCCACCCCCCAACTAGTGCGAAGAAGGGAAACGTGCTCGCACTCAGAGCCTCGGAGGGTGACGATAGTCAAAAGCAGGCTCAGTGGTTAGCTCCCGGCGGCCGAACCAGCCAGGCTCTCGGCATGAAACACTGCAGCCGGATCCCAGCGGCGGCGTGGCAGCAGCTCGAGGGCGCCACGTGGTCGAAGCTCACCTATGTGGAGTTCGAAGGGCACCTCGGCTTTTGCTCTCAAGAAGGTGGTGGGGGTGCAAGGGGGGTGTGGATGGATGTAGGTAGGAGCGGTCCGAAACTTTGTGGTTGCAGACATCCAATCGATTCACAAGAAAACACCTGGTCTGACAAGTTGCCTTAGATACAAGTAGCAGAAGCGTCCGAAGCTCTTGGGCACGGATTTCTGATTCAGCTCCGGCCCAGGTGCTTCGGCGAAAATTCCAAGGGCGCCGATGGCGTAGCCGGGCTCCTCACGGCCCTGGCCCGTTGCCCTGGGCTGAAGGACGCGAGCTCGTTGAGTTTGCAGTAGCACCGAAGAGCCTTCGGGGATAAAAAACGTCGCCGCTGCCATCACAAGGCCGGGCGAAGCATGCCGACGGAGGCCTCCTAGCAGGAAACTTACATGAACCCGTTACCCTCATGCTCATGTTGCTGCTGCTGCTGCTGCTCCTGCTGCTGCTGCTGCTGCAGATGATGAGGAGGATGCTGACGCTTGCGATGACTTTGTGGTGAGCGTGACCTAGCTGACTTGCATCGACGTGGGTAGCACGCTTCTCATTGCAAACGTCATGGCCACAGTTTGACCAATGCTACAGCTGTCTGTAGCAATTTTGTGAGGACTGCCCTGAGTCGAACCATCACTAGACTGTCACTCGGCCCTTAGGTTGAAGGACGGCAGCGACACTGCTCCTTGAACTCAAGCGCTGTGTCAGCCACAAGTACTGCTGCCCCGTGTGCGGCAGGCCCTCCTTCGGTACAGCTAATCGGAGCAGCACCGGAGAATGGCGTCGCATCATGTGTCGCGTCCACTTCGATCAGCAGAAGCATCAACATGCAACAAGCTACAAAAGAAGGTCAACAGAGTTCACAGCAAACGCGGGGCAATGGGAACACCTGTGGGGTTCGCCATCAGCCCTCGGATCTTGGGCGGAGCAACTCGTCCTCGCTTGCTCCATAGCTTCAGAAGTTGCGACTTGGCCCCGGGTCCTCGCCTCCGCGGAGATTTCGCAAAGAAAGAGATAAGAGCCGGTGCCCTTCGGATCCTCGTTCTCTAGAAGGCCCGCCCCCAGAGATCCGTTCGAAGCCTGCGACACCTCAGCCTTTGGCCCTCCGACCCGCTTCGCGAGATCCACGGCTTGTCACGTTGGTGCCAGGACGGGAAGATCGAAGGCTTGTCAGACGAGCACTTGGAAGAGCTGCGCCGCCTGCGCCGAAGCTCATGATCGCGAGCTTTTCTGACTTCCCCGCCTCGGCGTGTTTAGCAGCGCATTCGAGACAACTTCGAGATGCCAACTTGCGAGATGCTCCCCATCGAAAGATGACAAACCCACTAAACCTTCGGCCCTCCGGGAAATCAGCAGCATCTTGAGCGGCGTCATGGTTGCAGGGTTAAAGAACGTATACAGCATCAGTTGCCTAACATCCTCTATGCGAATTTTGGCATGTCTAGATGTGCGATCATTTCGATGGGCAGCCGCTCGCACTCACAGATCTGCTAGACATGCAGGTCGGAGGATCAGAGGTCGTGCTTCGATGCGAAAGCCTATGTGTCAAAGCCGAAAACGGAAGTCCAAACCGAACGAACCCTCAGCACTAGAGCAACGGACTCTAAGACCCCGAACCCCTGTGGGACCCCACCCAAATTTCAAACGATCCGGCAACCTTATAAACGATCCAAGGTCTAGCGTTCGAGACCCTCGATCTGAGGTAAAGCACCCTTAATGCGAAAGTAAGCCGTTGGGTTCAATTGGCTGCGGTTGATTGGGGTCATAAAGCTCTTTAGGGCTTGGGCGTTCTGGCGGCTGGCTTTGCTGCTTCCCAGGATTTCGAGTTGATCTCTGGGGGGGGTGTGGGGCTTTCGGCTCTGAGGCTCGTCCTCTCGGACGCCGAGAGGTGTGGGGATGCGAGGGTGTTAGGAGACATGAGCATAGCAAGATCTGATCTGGGTGCGGTTGTTCGATACGGGAGCGTTGGAGTGCGGAACGACTCGTGCTTAGGCCCTTCCACCCTGTGCGACCCTAGGCCCTAAGCCCTTCGGTCCGAAATATTTGACACTTTCAGAACCTCACAGTGCCGAAGCAGTTCCTCTACGAGTCTGCAAGCAGCTTCCGGGAGGCCCAGACCTCCTGCAACTCCCCAAGCCGCCCGAACCCCCAAGCCCTAAACCCCAATACTTCCGAACCCTTGCCTTCCCCTGGATGTCTCCAAGCCCTAGACCTTAAGACCCGAGAAATTCTTCGACCTCGAAAAGGCTCAAGTCTGCAGGATGCCAAGCCTTAACTGGGACCCTGCACAGACGGGCCTCGACCCTTGGAATCCAATTCGTGCAAGGACCGGCCAGTCTAAGTCTACGGCTGGAGAGCCAAAAGCACACACATACGGTTGAAGAAGGATCCCTTAGAGTAGAGTATAGGCCCTGCCTTTCGAACCTCCATTGGTGAGATCTCTGTGTGGTGGTGTGTGGCCTCTTTGGCTCCTGAAGAAGCATTTTGCTTCTTCGTCGCTGCTTTCTTTCACATCCCGTGCCGTTGGCCGCAACGTTCGGAGTTGAGAGTCTCAACTGTAGCATAGGGAGACTTCGCTTATGTTCAGAAACCATGGTCTGTTGAATGCGGTTATGCGATCATCAAGGTTAGAAGATCTCTACCACTCATCTTTTCAAGCTTTTCCCCTTTCCTGCCTCTTCCGATATCGCTGTCATGATCTCTTATGGGAGGCCTTCATCAAAGCTCTTGTTGGCACAGCTCCGACTGCGCTACTGATAATCTTGCTCCTCATTCTGACCGAAGAGCTTACAGCCACTCCCAAGTTTCGGTATAGGTTTGGAGTAGGCGGGTGTCGGGCGTTTGGTTCAGCTGGGTGTAGTGTGTTCGGGTTTATGTAGACCTTGAAACCCAAATCCTTCGCTTGCTCATTGTGCGGGCAAGCATACACGGTACGGGAAGAAACGTGTACGACCGTTTCTGATGCTGGCCGCTGTCAATGGTGACACGTAGCCAGCAGTCTCACGCAGTCACCAGGCCCATGCCGAAGCGCAGGGCATCCAATCCCCAAGTCAATAGCGAAATCGGCTTTTGGCAGAGTGAGAAATGGAGTCCCATGCACCTCGCCAAGCATTGACAGCACTGCAATGCATGTTTCCTGAAAAGCATTGACGTGATGGATGGAGCGGGGCATAGGAAGAGTCCTTTCCATCCGACGAGGCTTCGGCGCGACGTTCTGGGTAGCACCGGGCTCAGCTCAGAGAAAAATCTGCGGGAAGACAAGCACTCACAGTTCACATCGTGTGCGCGACCCTTCGTCTCCACAGAACCCTCCACAGGAGGAGGCCAAACTGCAAATGTGCGTGCCAAGGCAAAGTGTCTCTGACCAGCCATCTTGCGCAGCGGCCTGATCATAGGGCCTTAGCACGCAGAATAGGGGCTCTTGATAGAGACCATAAGGAGATATGATTCCGAACTATTCAACCCTACAGTATTTGCCAGTGGCAGTGCCTGGCAACATCCTGCAGGTCATCAGCGAGTTGGACGGGATCTGAAGGGGGCCGTATGAGCAAAGCCTGCAGAGGTGCAAGAAACTCGAGTGGCAAAATGTGTTGCAGTTTGATTCTGTGCTTCCATCTTTGGCCATGGGCCATGCTGATGCACGTCTCTTGCACCCTAAGCTGGCAGAATGCCGGGGGCCTGGGCACGGGAACAGGTTGAATCTGGACCTCTTTTTGCCAAGTCAAGGTATGCGGACCGGCAAACCACGTGCATACAGTTGTTTCATCAGATGGCTTGCATTTTGTGGAATAGACCCCTTCTAAGCCTCTGCCCAACCAACGCCAACCCCCAAAACCAGAACCTCTGTAAACTCTCAACCTTGGGCTCTGCAACCTCAGCATTCCTCGAAAGTCCTACAGTGGCCTCAAGCCGAACAATAGCCTCAGAGCCCCCATGTGTCTCGGCTGATGTTGCATGCAGCGGTTCCATGGCCGAAGGCGGGCAGTGTTGTCGCGGGTTCCAGGGTGTGGGGCTTTAGTGTCATTAAGCCGCTGGAGTCCATAGTTACTACGCACTATGGTTGGTTCTCTAAATTCGGGTCCCTTTTGGATCGCCAAAATAGTATGGCGCCCTTAGCAAAAGGAACCCGAAAAGGGACCGTAATTTCCAGAGCTACCCATATAACACCAGTAGACGCCACCCAGCTTTATTACCTAGGTCCGTAATTCGGCGTATGTCCCCCGAGCCTTTCCGAAAGGTTAATTAATGCTGCTTTGTTGTTTCAGCTCCCAGATGTCCCGAGCCAACCCTAAACCCTAAACCCTGAACCCTAAACATCCCGAAACCCACCCTAAACCCACTGTCGAACTCCGCAGGCTGTGAGAGCTGAAAACTGGGAGATCGCAGAGCAGGCTTTGCCTCAGGCGCCAGCACTGGGGGTTTAGGGTTACGGGTAACCATGCAGCATGCCTCCAGCCCCCAGGTACAGAGAATACCCTAAACCAAACCCTAAACCTTAAACCCTAAACCTTTTAAACCCTAAGCCCTAAACCCTAAACCCTAAACAGCCTAAATGCCCTAAACCAAACCCTAAACCCTAAACCTCAAGCCCTGAACCCTAAACGCGAAAAGCCCCAACCCTTAGAGCCTGCGAGGCCGGTCTGCTTGAATCGAGCCCCCTGTGCTCGGCATCCGCCTTGGCGCGTGGGGGAGGGGGGGGGGGNNTTTTGGGTTTAAGGTCTATAGGGTTTAAGGTTTAAGGTTTAGGGTTTTGAGCTTTGGGTTTAAGGTTTAGGGTTTAGGGTGTAGGGCTTAGGGTCCAAGGTCTAGGGTTCATTGCAGAAGCCTTAAACCCTAAACTCTCTGCGATTGGAGAAAGAGAAAGAAAGAGCCACTGCGCTTCCCTAAACAGCCTGAACCCTGTTTCCTCTGTGGCTTCGAGCTGCAGGTCATCTGTCTACATGACAGTGATGAGACCTTAGGGCGGAATTCGTTTACTGGGCCGGTGCTCAGGTCGAAAAGTACAGAAAACAGGCAGGGAGCTCGATGGCGTGAGTTTCGGGCAGTTTAGCTCGTTCACATCCGGAGTTCTGGCAGTCTTCCGCAGATCTGGCGTGAAGCTTTACGAGTTTAGGTTTAGGGGTATCCTAAATCCTAGACAGTCGTAGACCCTGACGTCGGAATCCGATCTGGGGTCTGCTGCTCAGGTGAACGACGAGAGCTTGGATGCCGACACTAGGCATCTTGCCACGCTGCTGGCTCGGGCGCCTGGATTTCTGGCCTTTGGGCCTAGTTCGACGGCTTGGCTCAAGGTTGCACGGTTGCA